TTAGTGGTGTCTGGATTATAGCCCTTTCTGCTAGCTTCTCTTCTAATAGACACTGTCAGAAGCAACCTGCTCTGTGGTGGAGGGCTGCAAGGATTCATGATGGTTGAAATTTAGTTGGACATGGGACAATGACAGTTTTAAGTTATGAGATTATGGGAACTACAAAAGACTGGGTCAAGTCTGGGCAAATGGCCAGAAAGTAGAGTTTGAATAGGTAGTGAAGACCACTTACACAGCGGTCTCAGCACATCACTGGCGTAAGATGAGTATCCACAGAGGTGAGCACACGGAGTGCTCTAAGTGAGCCATGGAGTTCCTGCAGGTTAGGAGTTGTCCCTGGCCTTTTCTCCCAAGGCAGCTGCAGAGTACTAGGTTGACTTTGTTCTCAGAGTTCAAAAGAACTCCAGTGAATATAGTGCAGTGGTTCTCCACTCTGGCTGCTGCATTAGCATCTACTGGAAGATTCTGAGTTCACTGGTCTAAGGGAGGAACTTAAGCAATAGCATTTTGCAGACTCCCCAGGTTCTTCTGATGCGCAGCTGGGTTGAGAACCATAGTTTCATGCAATCAGCTTGCAGTCCCTTCGATTAGGGATTGCCAAGCAAGCTGCCTTCATGCTTCCAAATGTGTACAGAAATCACCTGGGATCTTGTTAAATACAGGTTCCAATTCAGCAGGCTTGGGGTGGGGCCTGAGATTTTGCCTGTCTAACAAGCTCCCACCCAGATGACTCTGAGGCTGCTTGTCCCTAGACCACACTTCAGTGACTTGAGCATGTTACTTGATGTGCAAATCACTGGCTTACACCAGCCTGTGAGATCTACAGTAAGCATTTTTTCTGCCATGATCCTGCTCTCTGGCAGAATTTGCTTAGTGTAGCCAAAGAACACTGGGGTCAAGAGGCCTGCTTTGCACTTCCAGCCCTGCCCCTAATTAGCTGTAAGACAAGTCTCTTAGAAGTGCTTCTGTCCTTCACCCTCTGATCTCTGAAATGGGAGGGTTGAACTGGGTAAACTGTAAGTATCCTTTTGTTTCTGCCTCCTCCCATACAGGTCCAGGGTGTTTTCAGACTCCATGGGGACCATGTTTTACGTGAAATGTCAGTCTGGACTCTGTACTAAGGGCCCTGATTTGCCTTAGAGGCCTTCCTTCCCCCAGGGGATGGGCTTAGGCCCTGAATTTAGTACTGGCTGGAGGAAATGAAACTGACCAATGAAAAAAAAAATTAAAGATTTTATGTTAAATTGTAAGCTATAGTAAGTACAAAACAAATTCAAGGAAGCAAGAGTGGCACATTTACTGGCATAGTCAGGGGAGAAATGAGTTAAATTTTGTTTACTCTCCTTGATGGCCTAAAGTGCTGGGTCAGGGTGGTGGTTCTTATGCTTTTACATTTGTTGTCTTTAAAAAAGTATTCTTCAACAATGAAAAACAAAACATATTTTTCTGTCTTAAACAGATCTAGGGGAAAGACGTCCTTTTGTGGAAGTAAATGTTTGAAGAGAAACTAAAATGCTATAAACTCTTCTTTTTCCTTTTTTTAAAAAAGACTTTATTAATTAATTAATTAATTTATTTATTTATTTGAGAGAGTGGAAGGGAGGGAGAGAAACTTCAACGGACAAAAGAGAGATAGGTGTGTTGTCTCTCGCATGCCCCCAACTAGGGACCTGGCCTGCAACCCAGGCATATGCCCTGACTGGGAATCCAACTGGCGACATTTTTGCAGACTTTCAGTTTGCAGATCGATGCTCAATGCACTGAGCCACACAAACCAGGGCTCTTCTTTCCCTATACATAATTTTTCAAGGCTAATCTTGACTTTTAAGAGATTGATACTGAAAAAAAAAATCACTAGAACCAAATATAGGAGGAATCAAAATTCCTTGTGCGCTTCCTTATAGACACTAATAAATAGTATCAGAAATGACCTAAAATGAAATTAAAATTTCTCAAATTATAAATAATACTAAAGATGATCTCTCTCTCTACCTTAACTCATTGGAAAGAGGCCAGATAATTTGCTTAGATTTTATAATATAGGTACATAGGAAATTTTAACTCAACTCTTTTGATGTCAAAGGAGATGTATTTTGCATTGTAAATAGAGTTTTATTAAACCATAGCTTCCCTTAAGAAAAGGTTGTATGACCGGTGTTTAGGTATAGAAAAATATGAAAGAAAACAGTTACCCTCATTTGATGAATTATATTCAGTATACACAATTTAGCTCTAACTGTTCTCTGAATATCTCAAAGAGGTTTTTTTTCCTGTATTGTTTGATTATTTTTAAATTGAAGACTTGTCAGTACCTTTTCTCAGAAACACATAGCATTATGTTTTATTGTATTTGCTAAATCTTTATATAATCAACTATTGATTATCTGTCATAACAAGAGTGATAATATAGAGTAGCAAATCTTCTAGTTTTAAACTAATAAACACAACATATGCCATTTTATAGAAAGTATATTTTGGTTCCAAGTGACAGAAAGCCCAACCCAAATTGGATGAAGCAAAGAAGGGAGTTTTGGGGGCCATGCAATTGAAAACTTGAACAGCCGAGCTAGCTTCAGATACAGTTGGTTTAAACAGCATAATCAGGACCTGGTCTCTCTGCATCTCATGCCCTTGCTTCCCTTTGTGCTGGCTTCATTCTCAGGCTCCATTTAATTACCGGGTTGCTGCCAACACTGCCAGGGTTTTATTTTTATGGTTCAAACCCAGTAGAAATGAGAACAGCCTCATCCTCCTCCCCTGCCCCTCAAAGTCCTGAATCATGTCCCATTGGCTGTGATTGGATCATTTGCCCTCTGAGGCCAGCGGGACTGGTGCCCTGATTGCCCCGCTCAGAGCCCTTTGACTGTTCCTGGGGGGCTGGAGGCCATGTTCACATTGACGGGGAAGGAGGGGATGATTCCTTAGAGGAAAACTGGCTACTGTCCAAAAAGAAGGAAGAATGGATACTTGATGTAAAAAGCATCAACAACAAAAGCGACATACCTCTGTCTCCATTTAAGCCAATACTCAGAGTCATTTACATGTGTAAATACAAAGATCTTTGTGGTAGATGACCGTCAGGGGGATGTACTTTGTGGTTGGATCATATAGAACTGGAATTAAAAGGCAGAGCCTTAATGAAATAATGGGAGATTGTATAGTATTGTATACCTGATTGCTTACCTTACAGGCAGGAAGGATATTCAAAATGTTTAAGAATCTGTGGCAGTGGCATGAGCCAGTCAGAATGAGTTGGGCCCAGCCTATCAGATCTGGTGCTGACCACCACCAGCCGTCAGGGCCCAGCTATTTGGAAGGGATTGCAAAGGTCTTGCCATATTTCTCAAAAAATATAGTGTCTATATTATTTTCTTAGGGTTACCATTACAAAGTATCATAAACAGGGTGGCTTAAAACTCAGAAGTTTATTTTCTTCATAGTTCCTGAGGTTGGAAGTCAGAAATCAAGGTGTCTTCAGGGCCATGTTCTCTCCACAGGCTCTAGGGAAGAATCCTTTCCTGCCTCTTCTGGCTTCTGCCTGTTGTTGATGGCAATCCTTGTCATTCTCTGGCTTGTAGATACAGCACTGTTATCTCTGACTGCCTTCCTGTGGCCTTCTCCCCTGCGTGTCTGTGTCTCTGTAGCCAAATTTCTCTATTCTTTTAAGGACACCAGTCATATTGGATTTAGAGTCTCCTCTATTCCAATATGATCGTAATCTTAACTTGATTCCATCTGCACAGACCCTATTTCCAAATAAGGTCACATTCATGGGTTCTAGGGAAACATGAATTTTGGTGGGACACTATTCAATCTAGTATAGTTACCTAAAATCAAATGCTCTTGCATAGTTGGCATGACACAAATTTTAAAAAGTATTCAGTATTAAACTGCTCACAAACACTACAATTTTTTCTTTTCTTATAGTTAAAAACTGGATTTTTGAATCTTAGTATAAATATTTAAATGAATTATAAAATTTTTAGTTGAAATGCTATTCTGTAATTTTTTTACTGGGTCCAATTAAGTAACCACATCTTTTTTATTCATAATTATTTTTATGTTAGTGTGGCAATTTGGTGAAAAATTGATAATTTTCATTAATATGGGAGTGTGTTTGTGTATGAGGAGGTATTACATTTTTATATATGGCTTTATTGAATTCAAATAAGTTTAGCCTAAAAAAAATAGAACTGACCACAATTAAATGAACATTATCCACTAGCATAGTTAAGAGCAAATATAAGAAACAGGAGAGAAATGCAACTGCTGAAGGGCTTGGATATTATATCTTTCAAGGAACATTTGAAAATTGTGGTAATTGTCTTCCACTCTTTGAAGAATGGCTCTGTGGAAAAGAGTTTAGATTCTAGTGGGAAGAACTAGGACCAGTAAATTAAGGTTAAAGGGGAACAATCCAATGCAATGTAACACAAAACTGTCCCAATGTACAATGTACCATGTACAAAATGGAGGTGGTGGTGGTGGAAGGGAGTAAAATGCAGGTTTTGGAAGTGCCCAGGCACGTGCTGTGTAATTACCTCCCTGGGATATTTTAGTGGAGATCTTGCTTGATTAAGAAATTGAAATGGAAGGTCTCTCATTCAAGGTCTGTTGCAAGGTGTCCTAAAATCTCTCTTTTTATATATGTCATGAAAATCAATATTACTTATGTTACAAGATAGTTCTATAAGTTTATATGCTTTTTAACAGCTGTGAACCTGAAGTGTTGCTCTGTGACTTCTGTGCTAAGCAGTGTTTAGGAAAAAAATGGGGGGAGAGGGTGGATTTAATCTAAAGAAGAAGTATCAATAGGTGAGAAAGGTAGGGAATTAAAACTTCTATTTATTGGATGAGTTTATCCGTATTATCTCATTTCATTTAATATACTTAGTTTTTCATTGCATAGTTTGGAACTTATGAGTAGCGATAGTTCTTAGAATGATGAATTCTTAAAATAACTGACATTTTCTTATGTATTTTTTGGTGATGGAACACAGGACTGTTCTGATGGATACATGTGCAAAACGCATTTTCAAATTAAAAGTGGGACAGTGGTGTCACATCCAGGGACATCTGGCCATGTACAGATGGGTCTTCCCATGGAGGTGAGTGATTTAACATGCCATGTTCTCCTTTTCAGTCTTTGTGAAGTATAAATTCAAAACGTAAATCTTCCCATGGAGGTGAGTGATTTAACATGTCATGTTCTCCTTTTCAGCCTTTGTGAAGTATAAATTTAAAAATGTAAATCTGTTAAATGTATACTTAAAAAAATTAACTGCCATTGGATCCCAGGCCTGCTGTTCAGGGAAAGGGAACATCATTTGTCAGGAGGTATTCTATTTTAAAATATTTTAATTTAATTTTACTTTTGAATTTTAAGTTATTGAATTTATTGGAGTGACATTAGTTAAAATTACATAGGATACAGGTGTCCAATTCTATATTACATCATCTTTACATTGCCTCCCTCCCCTCCAACAGTTGTCAGTCTGTTTTCTGTATCTAAGAGTCTGTTTCTGATTTATTTGTTAGTTTATTTTATTCATTAGATTCCACATATAAGTGAAATTATACAATGCTTGTCTTTCTCTGTCTGGCTTATGTCACTTAGCCTACTACTCCCCAGGTCCATCCATGCTGTTGCAAAAGGTAAGACTTCCTTCTTTTTTACTTCTATAAAATTGAAAGCAGAAATCGTGGTAAAGCTGATATTTTTCCTGGGAAATCACCCAGGATAATACAGACCTATCCCTCTGCAGTTTAATACCTGGCTGGAGACCTGTTGGCCTAGTTTGCCTTTAACTCTTTTCCACTATGCTCTTTAAAATACACTAGATCTAGGTCTCATTTTGTAGGGGACTTTAACCTTGACTTGAAAATCTTGCTAAATTAAATTTTAATATAGTGATAATGGCTTAGTGGTTTTCTGAGATATTTTCAATTTAATTTTTTTCAAAATGTAAATAACCTTACTGTACTGGTTGTTATTAATAAAATTTTTATATATCAATTGTAAGAGTAAACAATAGAGAAATATATAAAAAGAGTACAAAGCTCCCATATATCCTTCAATTGGAGGTAACCACTATTAATATTTTAATAAATACTCATCCACACATTTCTCTCATGTATACACATACATACTTGTGTTTTGTAATGAACATTTATATTGTGGATATCTTTCCATGTCAGTAAATGTAGAATTCCATAGTTCTATTTTTATGGTTCCACTACTTCCCATCCTGTAGATGCAGCATAATTATGTGGAGTCTATATTGAAATAAAATGCTTGGATTCTAAAATGGAATTTTGGGGCTTCCTTGCTTCATCACAAAGGAAGAAATCACTTAAAGTTCCTTAGCATTCTGAGTATCCTGGGGAAATGGGTGAGGAAACTTGTTTTGTGAAGGAGGAGCTTCCTCTCAGGGTCTATTAAACCAGGTCCAGTTGGCAACCTGGCACTGGCCCCCTCTGCCTGTGTATGACACTGGCCTGGAAGTAACTATAACCAATATAATTTGGTTTGCAAGTTATTCTTGAGGGCATTGTGCTTGGTCATAAATTAAGGGCCCCCAGGGAGTACTCAAATCTTGATTACTGCTTTATGGTTTGAATAACCAACACCAAATCTGAAGCCAGGCATGTTAGGAAGCTTTTCAGTTCATTATATAATAACTTTAAAAATGCACATGGAAATCATTGTTTAAAAGATGAATTACCAGCTTTTGCCTAACAAGTTGGCAGATATTTGAAAAGCACTAAATTAAAAAGTGGTGTTGACAGTGTGAGGGAATCGACACTTTCTGGTTGATGTTTTTAATTTCACAAAGTTTAAAGATGTGCACATACTATGAACAATCTATTCCAAATCTAGGAATTTAGCTTCATAACATATAAATTTATCCAACATTTTTTATTTTCAACACTTCCCAATGAATTTCAAACATAGGAAAAAATTGAAAGAATTTTGCAGTGAACATTTATGTACTCATCACCTAAACTCTACCATTAACATTTTGCTCTTCTTGCTTTGTTATATATCTATCCCTCTATTTGTTTATCAATACACCTTTTTTGATGCAAAAACTTTTACAACAAAGTAAATTGCACGTGAATATTTACAGCTGGTGATTTTAGTTGACTACAAGCTCAAGATAAGTGAAAAGAATGAATGCCATGGATGTAGGAAAACTAGCTGGAGCCCAAGCTATGTTAAATAAAGCGTAAGTGGGTTCCCAGTATGGTCTGGGGGGGAGCTCTGGTGAGGGTGTCCCAGAAATACTTTCAGGGGGCCTACAATATTTTTATAATAATAAGATGTTTTTTACTCTCATTCTCCCTCAGTGTTCCCACCTACCTGTTATATTGTGATACAATGAATGCAGAAATAGGTACAAGAACCCAGCAGTCTTCTATTAAACCGGACATTAAAAAGATTTACACAATGGAATTCTACTCATCCATAAAAAAGAATAAAATTTTACCCTTTGCGACAATATGGATGGACCTAGAGAACATTATAATGCTAAGAGAAATAAGCCAGTCAGAGCAAGACAAATACCATATGATTTCACTCATATGTGCTATCTAATGAACAAACTGAACTAACATTCAAAATAGAGACAGACTCATAGATGGAAAGCAGATGACAGCTTAGTGGCAGGGGGAGGTTAGGGAGGAGAGGGACTGAGCAAAAAGAATAAAGGACCCATGGACATGGACAACAGTGTGGTGATTGCTGGGGGGACAAGGGTATAAGGGGACTAACTGGTAATGAGAAAATATAATGAAGATTAACTTAAAAATATGGAAAAAATAAATCACACACACAGATCAAGTATTAGAAGGTTGTACATTTCTACTGGGAATTAAAAATATTATTTTATAAATAGTTTATTTTCACATATCAATTTTTACCTGAATAAATGCAGTATGTGAATTGGAAGCAGGATCATTTGCAAATTATACAATTATTAAAATATTTATAAAACTAAAAAAAATTTTCAAAAATGTAAAACACTGTGACTTTTTTAATAATTTATGTTGTTTTGGAAACAAATTGACACATATTTTTAAATGAATTAACAAATATTTAAAAATTTTTCAATTTTAATTTCTAATACAGTGAATATCAGTAGACATAACTGTCCTAAATAAAAGCCCATTGGAATCCTCAGTGAATTTTACAAGTGTAAAGGGGTTCTGAGACCAAAAAGTTTGAGAACCACTGACCTAGATCAACTAAATATTACATTGTTACATATGAAGAACATTGATAACTAGAATATATAATAAATGAGTACATAAAAAATAGCTTAAAATAAATTATAAATAGAAATCATCCATAGAGAGAAGCATGCCAAGGGCCATGGTGGGCTTGGAAACATATTTTTATGAGGGATATTTGAGAGTTCTGGGGATTTTCAACTAGAGCTGAACACCTAGGAAAATTAGTTGTCTTCAGATATATCTAGAAATATTTCCTGTGGAAGAGAGAGAGTAGACTTAATTTGTTTCCAAGGATAGAACTAGTTCATGTCTGGAAATTATTTTGGACATTTCTCTCTAATGTTTAGAGTTGTCCACAATGAAAGCAGACTGTTGTAAAGTTGTGAGCTCCCTCTACTTTTGTGGGGTGTTCAGCTACAGAGTAGATAATCCTCTCTGCAGAACAGTGGTCACCAGGTGAAATGCGTGGATGCTTAAAGCCTGAGGCAGATGACGAGGAAGTGAAGTGAACCAGTGGGAAGTGGTGGGGGCCGTGGAGAAGTGGAGAGGGCACGACTCCTTCAAAGGGGCACTAGGCATGCGGCTCCAGGTGGATTTTCAAGAAAAGACAGTGATCTGGATTTTTGTGTGTTGGCTTAATTTGAAAAAAATCTGTACAGGCCAAATAGACTATATTTCTGGGCTTTAAATGGTCCTTAGGCCACCAGTTTGTAACCTAGTTCTAATGTTATAGAAAGGAGTCCTGTATTGCATAGAAGACTGACCTAGGGGACCTCTCAGTTATCTTTAGAATTTAAAGACTGATAGTTCTATATCTCTTCCCTGTCTGTACATCATATTTCCTATATAAAGATATTCAAAGTAATGTCTCTGCTAATAGCCTTTTCAAAAAGTTTTTTTTATTTTGGTCATGTATAATGTGGGAAATCAACTCACTTCATTATTCTAACTAGATCTGGCAGTCTTGATTGTAGAAAGATAGCTGGATTCATGATTTTTTATGCATGTAATATATAGATAATCATGAATTTAAAAAATCACAGTGAAGTAAAATGGAATATATAGGTGAAACAACTTGTGAAAATCATAATCTATACCTTTTTTGACTTTTTCAAATATAACTTAAATGAGAGTTAAAAGAATGAGATAGTATTTAGAAATCTGCTAAATATATTGGGGTGCCTTTTAGTGCTGGTTTTGGAGAACAGGAGTTCTTATAGGTTAATCATATTAGATAAGGCATTTATATTGAGAAAATTTAATATGCATTGCTTGTGACATTTCTGAGTTTGTAAAGTAAAAAGAAGGACTATGGCACTTTTTGAACAAGATCTTTTCTTTATCAGCAATTGAAAGAAATTCATAGCCTCAATTTAAAATCTAAATATAAATGTGTATTTTCAAAAGGAGCCAACATAATCAGTACTGGTCCTTGGGGTATCTTATTACACAGAACTCTTTATTTCCATAAATTGACATTGGTGCTAACATATCACTTTAGCAACTTATGATTTTTTAAAATTTTCTTAGCAAAATTAAGATATAATCATTTAACAGTAGTGAAAAATATGATTCAACAATTGGTTAGCTTTAACTAATATGAGCTTATTATCCTTATTAAAGTTCTATTTATATAAATAAAATAATAACGAGAATGGGAGTGGGATCACAGCTCTCTATGCCAATTAGACAATTTTTGATGAAAATTAGTCATTATTAACCTTTAAAACACATATGTGCATATAATTGAAAAGTAACTGGAAACTTTAAAAATATATTTTGAGATTCTAAATTAACTCACCGACTAATAGAGAATGCAATGACAAAGTGGAGAAACAAGGTGTAAGTTTCTTGTCATGTTTAGCATTAAACC